GTGACTGATGCACGTTGAATCTATCGAGTCGCAAAAGTCCTCCATGTTCCCATAACAAATCAATACCACTGAGGGTACTGGATTGGAGATCGATCATTCTCTGATTCAGATAAAAATTACGATCAGTGGATGAATGAATGGGTCCGCCCTATAAACAGGTGCGACGTATGATGTGGCAGAAGTCGAATTCTTGGCCATAGATGGTGCCACTGGAGAACAAGAACAATCGCCCCCCTCTACCTAAACAGGCATACGTCAACAACAATTTATTTACGTCACACTAGAGCTGCACAATGAGCTATTGGCGGCGGTCTGGAAAGCAACCCCGAGGATGATCAACACCTCCTAGAAAAGAGCACGAGTTACCATAAATGTCCTTTAGTAGTCCAAACGTAATGACATATTTCGTATTTTCAACCACTGCGCAGCTTAGTACTCCGAACGTAATGACGTCTTTCTTATTTTCTATCAACTGCGCAGTTAACTTCGTCACATCGGACTACTAAATTGATCCGTGCTGAGGCCGTCCTTATTCTAGGTGGTGTTGGGATGATCCGGAGGCATGCCATCGCAATTTTGAACCTCTGCAGACGAGATGGCCCTTCTGCTTTGGTAGCCCGACGACCTGCGCGTTTAGTCGACAACTTTACGGTAGTACTGCTTAACGGGAACTAATATCGCGCACCCTCTGTCCCTATGCGGTTTGATCAAAATGGTCACCCACCCCCTTACTGATCACAGCCAGTATAGGGAACAGTGTCTTAAGATCATTCCACTGCGGGACCCAAAAAACAGACATTAGGGCTTATATTAACCACAATAAAAAAAAGCTCACAAACGATTTTTATGCTTCTAGATCGTCATGACTTATGTTATTCAGTGACTTCGGGACACACACTTGCTACCATCTCTATTACGGTTATCAATTTTTATCCCTTGTTCTTTTTTTTACACTCGCTAGCTTTACGGCATTTTAGTGGTGGTTAAAATGCCAGGCTGAGAGATCTTGTTCCCGTGGGGGTAATTTTTGAACACTTGGCTTTCGACTACATTGACAATAATAGATTTAATTTTATATGAATCAGTGGAATAGAGTCATGGTGACTCAGGAGATAGAGCGTTCGCCTTCCAATGAGGTGAACCTGGTTCAAATCCCAGCTCTCAACGATGCGATTGCACGGACCACAGTGATCCTCAGTGGTAGACGGATCATGGGTTAGAGCCCCCTAGCCGTCAGGCTAACTGAAGGAGGATTTCGTGGTTTTTCTCTCCATGCCAATGCAGGTTAGTTCCATCAAAACGTCCTAAGCGAAGACAAATTTTCTCTACTGCTTGACACATGAGTTCCCTCGTCTTCTGGGTTTGGTTAAAAATTACTAAAATATGGAGTTGAAAATTAGCAGTCGTGAATCCAAAAAACTGCATCGGCTGCTCAACGAAGGTTATAAGGTAAAATACAACTATACCAATGGGTTGTTAACAATAGTTTCGGATTCATTAGTGATACGAACAATTCCTTGCCGTGACCACACAGCCACAACTAGATATGATAGCGTTGATTATCACCCATTTTTTGTAGCACGCTTCTCTAAAACCTGAAATAACCGGTGAGATTAAATTACATTTACCACCGAACCCTGACCGTCGCTAATAGCCCATTGTGCAGTTCTAGTGCAACGTAAACGAACTACTTGTAAAACATATTGAGAATTATTTTTGATAAAAAAAAAATTCCGATCCCTCTTCATTATGTCTTTGTCAGCTTTGCTGCCGAAGAGGGAAGTTTCTGTCAATTCTTGTGAAATTTAAATTTTATTTATTTTATTGAAATTACATACATTTGCTGACTTGTGTGCTCAATATATAGGCTTATAAGTCATTGTCAAGTAGAAAATACAGATAGAACAATTCAGAGAAAGACATCACAAAGAATACATCCAGGGTTACGGCGGGATTCGAACCCGCTACCTCCACGCTTAACAGAGCGTTTGGACCGGCGATACCGCTCGGCCAGGGAGGCCCCTGAAATTTAAGTGAAATATTATTCGAAACAAAAATCTTCTTCTTGCATTTCCAGTTTATTTTATTTCTTATTCAGTTAATTATTTATAATGTTTAATAGTTTAATATTTATTTTATCCTACGCGCTCCTCAAACATTAATAAGTCCTTTGTGCGTGTTCCGGTGTTCCTCGATCAGGTTGGTAGGTACTTCATTTACATCGCAATAGAGCTGTACTATGGGCTATTGGCGACAGTCTGGGAAACATCACAGAGGATGATCCGAAGACATTTCATCTCAAGTTTGATCCTCCGCAGAGGAGATGGCGTCCCTGCTTCGGTAACCAGACAACTTGTGAGCGAATTCAAGCACTTTATATTGGAACAGTTTAACGAGGACCGAACCCTCAGTCCCTCAGCACGCTGATCAAAGTGGTCACCCACTCGCATACTGATCACACTCAGAGAGGCTTGACTTTGTCGTTCTGCGTGTCTTTACTCTAGTCCACTGCGGGACTGTGTAGTTCTAAGGAAGCGTTAACACTAGTCACCTAACCTAGAAATTCTTTACACTGAGACATAATCGTANTGGCCACTGAGACATAATCGTATCAAAACTTTGACTCGTTTTTTATGCATAAGCCTTGTGAGCTCACTGCTTTGAAGTTCGTGTCAATATGTAATAGAATATGGGCAATGGAAGTTACAGATGGGCATCACTATGGAAAGTATCAAAAACATCTAATGATATGATTGGATTCAAATCCTCTATATTTCCATGCTGCAGATTTATAGCAAAAGTCAAAAACTCCGGTGCATCTAACCACATAACTGGTACTGTTACTTGTCCTTTTTTTCAGTAGCACTAGAGCTGCTCAATAGGCTATTGGTAACGGTCTGGGAAACAAACCTGAGGCTGATCCAGAGACAACATACGTCATATCACATTTACAGGGAGAACACATTCGCATTCTTTCACATTTACAGGGAAGGCACATTCACACATCATCCATCCATCCATCCATCCGCAGATTATAATTTCGACCTGAACAAGAACACATTCAATATCAGATCCAATACTCCCAGGGGTATTGGTTTGTTACGGGAACTTGGAGGGCTTTGTGATTTCAACAGGTTTAGCATGCACCCGTGACTCATTTGTATACACGGGTTCTTCGTTCGGTGAAAATCGAACCCTCGACCTCTCAGACATGTGCCCAAGTCAAGCTTTCCCGACCTCTAGACCACATAAAATCTTTTTATTTACTTATTCGTACGTGCGTGTGTGTACTATAAGCAATGACCCACCTCAAATGGAAGAAAGAAAAGCATGGTGATAGGGTTACGACAGGATTCAAACTCTCCATCATTTAGCGACAGATTCACCCACACCCACGATGGCACTTTATAGAAATTACATACATGTGCAGGTATGTTTGCTCAATTTAGGCTTATAAACCTTTGTCAAGTAGAATACAGATCGAACAATTTGATGAAGGATATCACGAAGTATACATACAGGGCAAAGGTAGGATTCAAACCAGTCATCTCCACACTTGACGAAACTAGCTTAATGCTTGTAAATTCGGATATGAGCAAAAATGAGCGGATCGAGGCGTTCTCACGTGTTGTTATCGTTCTATAAAAGTGCATCATTTTCTCGTTCATTCTGTTTATCTGTTTCGTGTTGTAGTGTTTATCTGTTTCGTGTTGTAGTGTTTATCTGTTTCGTGTTGTCTGTTTCTTGAAATGCAGTATTGTAGTTCGAAAAGTGACTCTTGGCGTAATACACATTCGTCGTGTCATAGGAAGTTTCACTGGGTAAGTCTAAATCCGCTTCATCTCTTGCTTTTTGATAATCATGTCTAAAAAATAATTTAATTGTTTTAAAAAGTAATTTTGCGAACGTTAAGAAATATTTAAATGGGGTGGTTAATTTTAAATGTGGTTAACTTACTAGGAACTTGACTTGCGCACACGTAGAGTAAAATTTCATATTTTTTTTGCTTATAAGTTTGCTAATCCTTTTTCCAAATGATAAAATACGATGTTTCATGTTTAGTCTTCTTAAAATTAATTCGTAATTTGAAGAGATTTGAATAAAACATTTTATTGAATAAGAACATTTTATTCAAGAACATTTTATTCAACGACAGTCTAGTTTGATAAAAGTAAGTTTCTGATAGAATTTGATAATACATCAGCTTTTATATTTTATTTTCTAGTTTATAGTAAAATTCATAATTAATTGTCAAAATTATTATTAAAATATTGCTATATCAGGAAAATGCTCGATGTACCTTGTTTTCTTAAACAGCTACTAAAAAATTGCAAAAAATTCCAAAACAGTGTTTTTCTTAGAATCTTCATCTCAAAAATTCTTTTTCTAACAGATTCAATTGGCTAACGAATCAATTGGCTTTGCAACTATTTAACATTGATTCCTTTGACTAGGGGTCATTTCATTCATGTCGTCAGACTTTAAAATTTCGATTTTAGAATGCAAAAATTTCAAGAATGCGTAAGCTGGCTTTAACTTATTTTGCAGACGATTTTGTCCTTTTATCTAGTGAAGATGTTGGGTGTAGACTTCGCAAGTTTAAAAAGTAGCTTTAGGTAAACTCCGGTAAAACTTCATACTATATTGTGCCAATTCTTTGATTACTTAACTATATATTGGCCACAAATTACAAAACCTGTAACTATAGACTGTTACCGTATTTTGAATTTCGCCATGTTTGGTCTCACATTTTCTCGCGAAAATCTTCGAACACTATTTCGCGCATGTTTAACTCGGAATATACGATTTAAAAAACTCATGAGTGATGATGAGGTGTGAATAAATTTAGCTGCTTCATAAGTTTTTGTGTATTGTCATTCTCTATGTAATCGGGACTTTTTGAAGCACCTTTTTATTTCTTAGTTTTTGGTTTCTTAATTTTAAGCTTGGTTTATAATTCTTATCTGGTTCTAAAAGTTTAAGTTTATTTATCTGCATTTTTTCCCCTCTTCTGAGAGTAGGACATAGCATTTTAATTGTATTTATAAATTTATTTCAAATTCATGGTGTCTTTATCAAGCATGTGGCAGTAATATTTAATAATGCAACAGGCTTTTGTACCTTTATTGTTTAGTTTTTAAAACCTTTAAGTAACTGTACAATTTATGAGTTTCAAGCATTTTCTTTTTGTATGTGTATAATGATGTGGAGATTGTTGGTGTTAGCTTTATACCTTAATTTATTCTTTTTTTTTCTTTTTTGAGATTGATATCTATGATTAAATTTGATGTAATGATTTTCTTTTGCAGTTTTTGTCCCAATAATATTTACGTCCAAACAATCGTACTTAGTTTTGACACTTTTTTTGAAAATGTTACGTCCCAAACGATAAATTCCTTTATGCGTGTTAGCCAATTCCAGTTTTGGTCTTGAAGGGTTAAAATTGTGTAGCAGTTGAAGTAAATTTATTAGGTTAACACAATTTCGATAGAGGAAATAAACTTCTTAGAATTTGTAAAGTAAAAAGTATGTTTGTATAATTTAAACGGTAAGAATCTGCTTTNAAAACCTGTAACTATAGACTGTTACCGTATTTTGAAATTCGCCAAGTTTGGTCTCACATTTTCTCGCGAAAATCTTCGAACACTATTTCGCGCATGTTTAACTCGGAATATACGATTTAAAAAACTCATGAGTGATGATGAGGTGTGAATAAATTTAGCTGCTTCATAAGTTTTTGTGTATTGTCATTCTCTATGTAATCGGACTTTATGAAGCACCTTTTTATTTCTTAGTTTTTGGTTTCTTAATTTTAAGCTTGGTTTATAATTCTTATCTGGTTCTAAAAGTTTATTTATCTGCATTTTTTCCCCTCTTCTGAGAGTAGGATATAGCATTTTAATTGTATTTATAAATTTATTTCAAATTTATGTCTTTATCAAGCATGTGGCAGTAATATTTAATAATGCAACAGGCTTTTGTACCTTATTGTTTAGTTTTTAAAACCTTTAAGTAACGGTACAATTTATGAGTTTCAAGCATTTTCTTTTTGTATGTGCATAATGACGTGGAGATTGTTGGTGTTAGCTTTATACCTTAATTTATTCTTTTTTTTAAATCTTTTTTGAGATTGATATGTATGATTAAATTTGATGTAATGATTCCCTTTTGCAGTTTTTGTCCCAATAATATTTACCTCCAAACAATCGTACTTAGTTTTGACACT